GGGGCAGCGGGATCCTGGCACAGGGCCCACATGCCCGGTTCCAGCCTCTCCTCTTCACTGCAGAGACCCTCCGTCTCCCGGGGCACAGAGTGGGAGGGTGTGCACCCCACCCTTCAGAAATCTGCCCCAAGCTCCCCTCCTCTCCCTGGCATTATCTCTTCCACAGTTTTAAATTTTTCTCCAAGAAAGTCTTCATCAAATTCGTCAGACAAGGTAGCAGGAAGCTTGCCTGAACTGGAGGGGGAGTGGAGAAGTAAAAAATGCAGGAGAATAAACACCAACCTTTCCACAAATTGCTGCTCCATCAGCGTCAGAGTGTGCTTAAGAAATGCCAACGTTTGTAACGAGGAGCAGCAAGAGGCAGGTGGCCGGGAAGGTCACCGGGTCACAGAGGCTCTTGGAGGGGCCGGCAGGGCCCAAGGCGTGAGTCACTGCGTGCCGCGTCATCCCCTCCAGTGTCCTGTCTGGTTTGTCCGTGGTGGCAGCTGCGGCTGCCTTCATTTCATAGATGGAGAAAGGAGGGCTCAGACAGGTGAGGTGACCTGCCTCTGGTCACACAGGTCCTGCGGGTCTGTCTGAGGCCTCTCAGCCTGACTAACAGTCTGGGAAGGAGAAGGGAAGGGACCCTGAAGCCACTGCCACTTGCTGCCGGGCTCCGGGCTTTGCGACCCTGTGACCTTGGACCTGCCAACAGCACTGTGTGACCCTGGGTGTGTCATCGATCCACCCTTCTCTGCCTGAGTTTCCTCCTCTTTGAAAGGATGATGCTGGGCCCCGCCTGGAGGGTGTTGGTCAGGGGAAATGAGTGAAGAGCACGAGCTGGCCCGAGAGAGCTGTGTGGATGGCGGCTCCCCCGGGACCACGCCCTAGTGGGGGAGCTCAGGTGGGCAGGGGGAGAGCGGTCATTGAACTGCAGCTGGAGAGCTTCCGTGCGCTGTGGATGGCAGTTTGGGAGTTGACTAGCAGCCGCCAACTAAGAAATACTCAAGAGGGATGAGCAGCCTGTGGAGTGGAGCCCTGGGAGGGTGATCGAGGCCACCTAGGGGGCAGGCAGCATGGGTGTGGGCAGGGGCCAGGCCCCCACGGGGTCTCTGGACCAGAACTGGGCCGAGGAGCAAAGGCTGCGTCAGATAGTGAGAGTCACGGTGGGTGTTTCTTTCCTCCTCCCCCTCCCCTCTCCCCTTTTCTCTCATTCTCTCTTTTAATTTTATCTATTTATTTGTTTATTTGAGAGAGAGAAAGAGAGAGAGAGAGAGAGAAACTTCATTGGTTGATTCTTGGATGTTCCCTGACCGGGAATTGAATCAGCAACCTTGGCTTATCAGGATAAGGCTCTCACCAACTGAGCTCCCCAGTCAGGGTCCATCCTGTCTTCTTTCTTCCTTCTCTTGCTCTGTCCCTTCTTCCATCCATTTCTCTCTTCCCCTCCTTGTCCTGACAAGTCTGAAAAGAGAAGCCTGCTCTCAGAGCTGTCATGAGTAAGCCACTTGTGTACCTGCGGTTTACCTACCTGTAGAAAACTTGTACCCTAACATCTCCACATGCTGTGGACAAATGGTTTTTAATTCAACTGCACAAATATTTACTGTGCTCTGGTGAACTGAGCGTACTTTGTGCGGGAGGTGACAGAGAGATGCAAATGGGCAAAGCCAGTCCTCGGAGGAGCCAGTCTGGGGCCGCTGGCTGGTGCTGGCAGGACATATGCCCCCCTTCCCCAAGGATGCTAAGGAGCTCTCTGTCTACCAGCGCCCTGGGCCCACTCCTCTCCCCACAAAGTGCAGAAAGGGCCATGGCTGCCAGCCCTGCAAGATCTCAACAAGACAGTGCATTGAAGGCATCATCTGCAGGAGGGAGGAAGCACCCAGCCTGCAGGTACTGGAGGCCTTGGTGAGTATCTGTCCGTTCCCTGTTGATGGCACACACAAGCAGGAAGCTGGATTTTGCCTCCATTTCTTCCTCTCCTATGAATTACCCGAGATCAACATAAATAGGTCTTTTTCTTCAATGTGTTTTTCAGGGCCACACCGCACTTGGAAATAAACGGGCCCCAATTTCATTTGCATGTTGTTTGATTTGGAGAGTAAGGTTCATGGATTCACCAAGGTATGGCCAAGTCCCACAAGGGGCACAGTGCCGATTGGTGGGAGCTCTTGGAGTGAAAGGGAATTTAGACAAATGAGGGAAAATAAGATCTGAAAAGGGACGAGAGAGTGGCAGTCAGGAAGAATGCACCCCACATAGTTTAGGCCCTCGGATGTCCCGGCCCGGGCGTGTGGTGGAGCGGAGCAGTATGTGAGCAGTTCTGTCTGGTAAATGATGAACTGAGTGATGTGTGCTTCCTCTGGGCTGGATCGCTGAATTGCACGTGTACAGCCCATCTGCTGACCCACAGTAGGCGTGGTGGAGAGAGACATGAGCCCTGGTTGCTTTAAGCCACTGAAGTTAGGGCTCGTTTGTTACTGCAGCATAACCAGCCTGTCCTGACTGGTATATCGGGAAAACAAAAAGCTTGCTTGGAGAGGCAGACTTTCATTTCTCTCTCTTCAAAGTTCAAAATCGAAGTCTCCTTTCTCCAGTTTTATTAGTCAACACTGTCCTTTATCCGATCAACATTTATCATGTAGCATGCATAAAAGATATAGCAAAGTTTTGTTAGGATAGCAATGGAAAGAAAGCAGTGACTCTGTTTTTCTCTCACCTGTAATGTATATAGAACAACAGAATCACAGACCATTACCCATGACTACAGACTTTAGAGGTGATCTAGTTGAACTTCCTAGTCCAAGAAGGCCTCATCTCTCCATCTCTGGCTTATTTGTATTTACTGGGTGCCAGTCACTATGCTGAGCATTAGAGAGAGACAGAGATGAACAAAACTCAGCCAGGTGGGTACAGTGACCCAAGAGGGATTTGGACCTAGTGCTCACAGCATAGAGGAGGAAAGAGGCTGCTTCCGGGGGCGCGGTGGGAGGGGGGGGAATCAGGGCAGGCTTCTTGGAAGAGGTGGTAGTTTGCTTGTCAGGACCTTACCCCTCACTGTATGCTTGGGCCAATTCCTGATTGTGGGAACGCAAACATGGATGATGGGTATGGCTCAGCATCCTTCTCCATCATGTGGGCCAACTCTACCTCTCCATGACCCACCAAGACTTGGCATCCGACCTCTCCCCTGGCTCTGTGACTCCCAAGACTGCCTAACGCATAGCCAGGCCTTTGTATGGGGACGATGTGGTCTCTGCCCTGGAAGGGGAGGGACCAGTCTGGTGAACAAGGAACATATACCCCCCCACCCCGTCCACCCCTTCTGTAAAACCAGGAGTTAAATGAGAGCCCGGCATTCTGGCCAAAGTGCTGCAAGTGCTCACCTAGCCACGTTCCCTGGGAGGGAACTCCTGCCTTGCCTAGGGTGAGGGGTGGGGGGCGCGCAGCTCCCACCCCGCATCCCCTGTGGGGGGAACCACTGGAGAAGGACTTCGCACTGGAGCTCATTCAGCCCAGCGGCCTTTAGCAGGCAACTCATTCACAAGTGAGCACAAATTAATACAGTCCCAACCAGCTACATAAATATTGTGCTGTAATTGATTGTCTTCTGTAATCAAAGGCAAGGCTGCTGACTTCGTTGCTTTCCCCTACCTCGTGACTGCTGGAGGAGAACTTTGGGGGAAGGGAACTGAGGTTATGGAGGTGGTTTCTGCTGCGTCTTTCTATTTGCCAGTTGTGTCTCTGATGTATTGACGGGATAAGGCCCATTACATTCAGATTCAATAACTATTTGTCAAATGCCCGTTGTGTGAGAGGCACTGAAAGATACATTATCCTATGTCATCACTAAGTTATAGTATTAACGATTTGATAATGTGACATAAAAGTTAGATAGTCTTGACAATAATATTTTTCCTGGCATACATTGTTATGAGAATTTAAATAGTGCTTTAACTTTTGAAAACACTGTGCACATTTGTAAGGAATACCAAAGGATACGAGGAGCCTAACTCTGCTTACAGAAACCACAAAGGGTGGGAGAAGGAGAGGGTGGATTCTGGGTAGAACTAGGTAAGTGGACTGTAGTAACCGGGCTTCTCCAGTTAGCCCTGGGTTGGTGAGCCTGTGGTCTCCACACCATTTGCCTGCATCCGCTTATTGATTACTAACCAACCTAAATGCATGGAATTGGACAGTTTAGATCGCTTCACACGGTACAAGAGAGCGGCATCTTTCCATTTATCTTCTGAAGCTAAGGCAGGCTTGGCTTTTCTAGCAGTTCTTGGGTTTGGATGAGAGCGACTTGGCGGGCGCATCCTCTCACACTCACACCCACCCTGCTCAGGCTCGTGTTCACTTCGGAGAATCTGGAGGGAGCTCTACCCTTTGGGAAGCCAGAGTTTTAACATTCACAAGCCCTTTTTGCTCTGTAGAGGGGGTGGGTGTCAGAGACTCTCCATAAATCCTCAGGAAAGCCCAGCTGTCGCCTGACCCCTGAGGGTACTGCAGTTTCCCTAACACTAACCTGAAGTCAACCTCTTTAACCCCTTTCCAAAACGTCGCTCAAGCTGGGCTGTCCTTTGAAAGGAAAACGAAAATCACCCGGTCCTGAGTGCTGGGGGAAGGGAACTTGTTCCCTGGGGGCAGGGGGTAACCTCGCGGCTACCACGTCTAGCCTAGGGATCCGAAATCATAGCGTACCACCAGACCCCTTCCCGCTCCCCGTGCCCTGCCGGCTCCTTGCCACTTTCTTCTACAAATGCCGGCTCGAGTGGGTGGCAGCACCGAGGCGATTTTATTCGTATTTTTTTCCTCCGGGTTTTGTCATGGAAACGCTGACACAACCTCCAGACGGCGGCCCAGCCGGCCGGGGACTGAGGGCTTTTGGGACCCTGCGGGAGCGCGGAGCGCACTCTGCACTCCCCGGGAAACAGCTGGACGCGACCAAGTCCCGGGTAGGGGCGGGGGAGGCGCGACGCTCCGCCCAGACGCTCCGGTCCCTCCCTCCCCCAGTTCTCCGCAGGCGCCCTCCTCTCGCCGGGGGCTGCGAGTTGCATTTGGTAAAACCCAGCCCCGGAATATATAGATCATTGGAGCGCAATGAAGTAGGCTTCGGAGAGAAGGGAGGGGGCCGGTTCGACAGCCACATCGGCCAGCGCAGCGGCAGCACCACCATCACCGCTCGCACCCCAGCCGCCTGGCCCGCGAGGAGGCAGCAGCGGCGGCCGCCGGCGGGCGCTGAGGCGGCGGCGGAGAGGCGAGGAGGACCAGCCGGAGGATCCGGAGCGCGCAGCCGGCGGGTCCACGCATCTTGGCACTTCCAGAGCAACTCCGGCGTCTTCCACACCCTCGCCCGGGGCTAGGAGCTCTGAGACCGGCCGCAAAGCTAGCCCGATCCTTCTCCCGAGCCCTCCCAACCCTGCCCTGCGCCTCCCGGGTCGGCTCCACGCAGCGAGGTCCCGGCTCCTGCGCCCCGGGCGCGCCTCCCGGACACCCCGGTACCCGTAGGCAGGACAAAGCCATGAAGCCGGCGCTTCTGGAAGTGATGAGGATGAACAGAATTTGCCGGATGGTGCTGGCCACTTGCTTGGGATCCTTTATCCTGGTCATCTTCTATTTCCAAAGTATGTTGCACCCAGGTAGGGGGCGCGTTAGCGTGGTTTTGTTGAATATTTTCTTCTCTCTCGCGCTCTCGCTCGGTCGCTCCGCCTGGTTTCTGCCTCTTCCATCCTTTACCTCTTCTTCCTCGGCCACCTCGGGGCTCCCTGTCGCCCGGGTGTGCCCGGGTCACCGAGTCGGGAAGGAGGGTGGGGAGGGTGGGAAGATGTGCTTGCTCCCTTGCTCTGCTTCCTCCGGCTCCGGGCTGGAGGATGGGACCAGAGGGGCGGTAGTTTTTTTTTCCCCCCCTCTTTTCTTTGTGTCTCTGGTCTGTCCTTCTGCGAGGTAGCTGGTAAAGGTAGAGGTAGTGGGAAGCGGCTGGGGGCGGGGGTTAGGTTTGAAGTGTATGAAACTCCTTCTCTGCTCTTGCCGTAGTCGGAGGATGAAAGAGGCGCCGGAGCCGACCGCCCAGCGCCCGGGCGCTCTGCCCCTTCCTGGTGGGGGTGCCAGGGGCGAAGGGTGCGCCCTCCGGCGAGGTAGAGAGTGCCTGCCGCGAGCTCCGGAGCCCCGGGCTAGGCTTCCACGTGTCCGGGGCTCGGCCCCGCGCTGAGCAGGTGTGGGGAGAGGCTCCGGGCGCTGCCTCTCCACCGGGTCGGGGAAGGGACCTGGCGCTGGCAGTTTGCCCCCGGGTCCGGATCCGCAATGACCTTGCGGCTAGTGCTGTTGGGCCTGCTTCAGCACCCCCACCCCCCTTCCCTCCATCCCTGATTCTGTGCTGGGGCCCCGGAGCTCCTGGGTCTCGCCTTGGCCGCAGCAGTTTTGGAGGAAACTTCGGCCGGGACTTGGGCTGACCGTCACGTTGCATTTCCCCCTACTCCCCGGCCCCGAGCACCCGGAGTCCCCCGGGCCCTGTGGGAGTAAGTCCCCTCCTCCCAGTCTCCAGTGGCTTAGACCCTCTCACATCTGAAATCGGGACTGGGGGAGAGCCGAGGCTCGCCGCTTCCGATGGGCGCGAAGGAAAGTTTGGGACCTGGGAAGGGATGGGCTCCCCGGAGCGCGGCGGCCGGGGGTTTGCAGTTCGCCTCTAAAGCCCAACAGGTAGAAAGAACCTTCCGAGGAGGCTTACGGGGTAACGTGGTCTGCTTGCCCCGCCTTGGACCCTCCTCTCCCCATTCCAGTCCCCAGCAAGCCTGGCCGGGCCACATTGACTCTGAAATCTTTTTTTTTTTTTTACGCCCAGGAGTTCTTTCTCAGCGTAGTCGCAGCAATAGTTTGCTTTTAGAATTTCAAGGAGGAGGGAGCTGGAAACACGTTTTCTTCCAGGGGAACGGGATTGCTATTCTTTTTTGCCCTGGTCTTCTTTCAGTGTGTATCTGATATTCTCAGCAGACCTGCATTCATCTAGCCTGCGTTTGACTCGATGGCGGAGGAATAAAGCCGTCCTTCCCATCCAATAGGCCGGCTGCCGGCCGCGGGATGCCTTGGCAGCGCGGGGACAGAACAGCCCCTCTGCTCCACTCCAGGAGCAGTTGTCAAGGCGGCCACCGCTGCCAAGGATATGGTCTGACACCACCGCTTGCAACCTCAGGACATCGCAGCCAGCCTTGTAAAAGATGGCTTTTGTTTGCCGTCGGGTATTTTTAGTTTCATGTCAGCAAACTACCGCGGGTTTTGTCACTTCATCCAAACCCGTGGTTGTGAAACTTCTAAGGGAATTTAAAAATGGGCCTCGCTTGCCCTGGGCCAGCCAGGCGGTGGTTGCAGCGGGCAGGAGCAGACAGATGGTGGTGTTCTGGAGACCAGGCCAGGCTCCGCCCCAGAGGGCTGAGCACTGAGTGGTGAGCAGATAACAACACTGAGGCTGAAACAATTTAAACAAAGGACTGAATGCTTTGGTGTAGTCTCTGGAGATGTGTCTAGGCCATTTCAAGTTTTGCCTGGATCCAACATGCCAGGTAGTTCTCTGCAGGAATGCCTGGAACGCGGAGAAACGTAAGCCTCCAGCAAGAATGCCCGTGAACTTCTCTGTACCTGCTCGTTGTCCAGCAAACATACTAATAGTACGCTGTGACCCACGGTGTCCATGCACCCTGAGCTCTCTTCTCTTCCTGAGTGAGAATGAGGAAGTGACTTCCTAGACAGAGATACTAAGAAGGAACTTCCAACTTGTGACTGGCACTTGCCTAACGTTTCCAGCTGTAGTGAGAGTATTCAGTCACTGGGAAAGTGGCATTGGCCCTTTTCAGTCTGGTCTTCTGGGACCAGCAGGAGAACCTTTCTAAGGCTGTGCTTGCTGATAGGATCCTCTGCCCTTGACCCTCTGCCCTCAGCCATGGCTCCCCTTCCTGGTTCCCTCTCCTCCTGAGAACTGGCATTTGTGTGTCATTCCCCTCTGTGAGTGTGCTCCCCTGATATTTGTTCCCAGTCCACAGCAAATACTACTTTCAATACATCTTATGGCCTGTAGGACTGTAGGTCGCTCTTGGGAAAGGCCCTTATTTTGAATTACATAGGGTCCCACAAAAACTCTATGTCAACGGTTTATTATTACATGCAACATAAAAATATGCCTTGAAATCCGTATTGAACATTTTCTCCATCCCCCCCTTTTTTTAAACTACACTGTTGATGAAGGCTGATGTGAAATCTTTCCTACAGCTTTGAATTTTTTTGAGAATTTGCTGCTTTTGGCTTCTAGGAAGGATTTAGAGTAACGAGAGCTGATCCTTACCTCTGGCTCTTGAGCTCTGGTCTCCCCAGATCGCCCCGGGAGAGGCAGAAGGCACAGCATGGCACAGATTGCGTTGCAAAGCACTCGGAGCCCTCTGGCAGGAGCTCTGAGTAGCTGTATCTGAGATAGAAAAATCTGTTCCAAATGACGTGGGTCCCTTGGTGGCCGGGGATGACCTGAGGTGTGTGAGGCGGGAGAGAACGGGTAAAAGGAGAGAGCTAGGGGTGTAGGTGTGTTTTGTGAGTGGGGGGTATCTCTTCCTCGGATTCTAACCTGGGGTCCCTTGCACTTTTCTAATTCATAAACTTGAGTCATTTGTACCCTTGCGTGTTTGGTGTTTAATTTGGTTGGGAGGTTCAGCAGAAATGCGCCTCATCAGTGAGGATGGCGCTTTTCTTTAGATCTTTGACACTGAGTTAACTGGCATTTGTTAAGAATGGCTTTTTGGGGCGGGGACCTGGTTTGTGGCCCCATTCCGAATCCTGGTGTTTTGCACAGTGCCTGACAACACAGGAGGTTCTCAATGAAATATTTGCTGGGTGAAGGCACGAAGTGGCCAAACTCCAGAAGCCTGGCCTCTCTGGTGCTCAGGAGGCTGCGACAAGCCTCGGCAGGCACACCTGGTCAGGAAGTGTCCGGTGGGGACCCTTCCCTGCCTTTCTGGTCCCCTGAGGCATGAATTCAGCTTAAGTTCTCGAGGCACCATACAGGAGTATTCCCCAAGGCCTCAATTTTTCTTTTTTTTAAATCCTCGCCTGAGGATATGTTTATTGGGATGTTTATTGATTTTAGAGAGAGAGGAAGGGGGGAGAGAGAGAAACAAGCATGTGAGAGAGCAGGAACATCGATTGGTTGCCACTTGTACGTGCCCCGAACTGTGATCCAGCCTGCGACCTAGGCATGTGCCCTGACCGGGAATTGAACCCCCAACCTTTTGGTGTTGCGGGACAACGTTCCAACCAGCTGAGCCACCCGGCCGCGGCTCCCTGTAGGCTTTATTTCGCTGCCGGGAGGTGTGAGACAGCTGAGGCACTGCCCAGCGTCCTGGGTACCTGGGAGGCCTGGCCTGGTTTAGCCCAGAGACCTGAACAAGCACATCTGCAGGGCAGACACCTTCTGTGGGTGGAACTGCTCCTGACGTGTCGGTGAGAATGGGGTGGCAGGCTTATAGTGTCTGCACACGCTTGGGCCCTCGGTGAATGCAGCCTGCGAAGGTGCATCCCTACACTAAAGAGTCTGCACACCTTCCCCAGACAGCGGGGCTGTGATGGAGCTTCACCATGCCAGGCAGTGCTGGGAGGCCCCCACGCTGCCTGTGTGCCCAGGGTAGATGCTGGCCCCGCACCTCCCTTTGGTGTTAACTCCGAGGACTGTGCTTTGTTTGAAAGCCCCTGTCACAGAAGCCTGCACAGGAGAAAGCCTGTTGCATCCTTCCCTTCTTCTCATTGCAATTTATTTTTCCTTCTACAATGTATTTACTTTCACTGTCACCTGGGACTTCTTTGCTTTGGTTGATGGTATTAAAAGGTTGTACCCTTTATTTAAAGACTTCCTGGGTTACCCCTTTGTAGTTTCACTTGATTAGATTGAACGTAAAACACTTTTGCATTACGATTTTAATCTAATTATAAACAATGTGCGCTCATTTTCGTCAAGTTAGTTAAGTACAGAAGAGAAATAATCCTTCCTTATTCCGCCACTCAGAAGCAATGGGTCCTTTTTCTATATGTTGTAGCATATGTATGTAAAATAGTTGGTATCACACCATGCATTTTGTACCCCATGTGATAATATGTATTTTAGACAAATGCATCATTATGGTTGACTATTCACTTTAAAGACAGAAAATCTAACCACAACCTTTTCCATTTAGACTTGCCTGTGTGCCATTGTTCCCCTGCCTGCCTCCTCCTCTCCCCTTTGCAGGCCATCAGCCCCAGCGTGCCTTATTTCCCCTTCTGCTGTACACATTTAATTTTAAATTAAAGAGTCTTTCTGATTATTCGTGAAATGAGCTTTGGAGTCATAGGGGCTGTTCCTGTGTTATCTCTCAGCTATCTCCTTTGCAAAGCTGTTGGGAGGGTCTCAAAGATGAGACCGTTATGAACGTTATGAACCCTGGACTGGCATTTAGTAACTGAAGGATAAGCCATTTCCTTCGGTTGCGGGGTGGCCCCAGGGCTGTTTCAATGTTTGTGCCTCAACAGAGCCGTTTTCATAGCTGCATTCAGATGAGACAGATAAATGTAGGCAATTTCCTGCGACAGCTGTCACGACTGTTGAGGGGTCCTTTTGTAATAAAAGAGGAGA